CGAAAGTTATTCAATAGGGCTAAAATCACCCATGAATGGGATGCCTACAGGATGGCCCTAAACGAATACAGTAAACAAATTAGAAAAGCCAAGCGTGCATCATGGAGGAAGTTCTGCGAGGAGATAACTAACACGCCTCAAGGAGCAAGACTTCATAAGATCATGGCAAAGGCACACTGTAATCCCTTAGGTCTCCTTAAAAGACCGAACGGGTCCTTCACGACTAACGAGAAGGAAACCTTGCAGCTAATGGCTATCACCCATTTTCCGGGATCTACTGATAATGCAGTAGCGATCACTCTTCGAAGGCCTCTACCAGAGGACTGGAGAAGAGCCGCTCTCGTTATTAGGCCTGGAATAGTGAAATGGGCCATTAACTCGTTTAAACCTTTTAAATCTGGTGGAATTGACGGCGTAGTCCCTGTGCTTTTACAACGGGGTGCCGCCAATCTCATCCCTTATCTGGTAAAAATCTTCAGAGCCAGTTTCGCCTGGGGATATATTCCAGATCTGTGGACTAAGGTGAAAGTCGTGTTCATACCTAAAGCTGGAAAGAAGGACTATACATCACCAAAGTCCTTCAGGCCAATCAGCCTCACGTCATTTCTTCTGAAGACCATGGAGAAGGTATTAGACAATTATATCAGACAAGGGAGTCTTATCAACAAACCCATACATGATACCCAGCACGCCTACCGAAGCGGCAGATCTACGGAGACTGCCCTACTAAACCTTATAGACAAGGTTGAAAAGGCACTGGACGATAAAGAAATAGCACTCGTTGCTTTTCTTGATGTGGAAGGAGCGTTCGATAACACGCCCACCGAGACATTAGTAAGAGGATTAGTCCATAAAGAGATTGACTCCACTACTGTAAGATGGATAAGAACCATGCTAGAGAGTAGGACAGTGAGGATGGAACTACTCAATGATTCACTAGAGTTAGCAACAACAAGAGGATGCCCACAAGGTGGAGTACTCTCTCCGCTACTGTGGACTCTTGCGGTGGATCAGCTTCTCCATAAGATGGCTGAACTCCGCTTTGACACCCTGGGCTATGCCGATGACCTGGTGGTGATAGTGAGAGGAAACTGCCAAAGTATGCTATCGCACCTTATGCAGAGGGCGCTGAACACAATTAACTCATGGTGTAAAAACAATAATCTGTCGATTAATGCAGGCAAAACCGTGGTCGTCCCATTCACAAGGAAACGAAAGCTGGACAAGCTTTCGCCTCCGACCATGAATGGGAGGCTCATTCCGTTCTCGACAGAGGTCAAGTATCTGGGGGTAACACTGGACCAGAAACTTACCTGGAACGCACACGTAGACGGAATTATACAGAAGTCTAAAACAGCTCTGATGATATGTTGTCGGCTAGCGGGAAATAGATGGGGCTTGAAACCCAATATAGCCCTCTGGCTCTACACAGCCATCATAAGGCCGATGGTGTCTTACGCCTCGGTGGTTTGGAGTAGAAAAACGACACAGAGTACTATCATATCAAGACTTAACAGTCTGCAAAGGACTGCTTGTCTTATAGTAACAGGAGCTATGTCTTCCACCCCGACTGCAGCCCTTGAGGCTCTGCTAAACCTGCCGCCCCTACATCTACACATTGAAATGGTGGCGAGGGCTAGCATGTACAGGATTACTAGCATGGAGGCGAAGACATGGCTGTCAGGTAATTTGAGGTACTTGAAGGACTCAATATGCAATATACCAATCCTGGGGATGCCTACTGACACCATGCCCCCGAGAATCGATTCACACAGGTCATATCTTGTGGAGATACCCACCAGGGACGACTGGTCAAACAATCGTATAGTATGGAAAAATGGAAGCCTAAAGTGGTACACTGACGGCTCCAAATCCGGTCCTGAGGTAGGATGTGGAATTCATGGAGAAGCCCCAAGGAAGGCTATAAGTCTGAACATGGGAAAGTACTCCTCAATATTCCAGGCAGAGGTGTACGCCATTTTGGAATGTGCGGCAGCCAATCTGCAAAATAACTACCTCAATCATACTATCTACATCCACTCTGATAGTCAAGCTGCACTCTTAGCACTAGCTTCCGACATAACTAGATCGAAGCTGGTCGAGAACTGCAAACAGACACTGAACTCTTTGGGCAACAACAACAAAGTAGTTCTACGATGGGTTCCAGGGCACGCTGGACACGAGGGCAATGAACAGGCGGACAAACTGGCGAAAAAGGGTGCTAAAGACGCCCTTATCGGACCAGAACCTTTCTGTGGCATCCCTCAAAGCCTAACCCAGCTCACCTTGAAAACTTACTGCCACTACGCAGCTATTCAACTATGGAGAAACACTCCCGGTATGAAACACTCTAAGACCCTGATTAAAACCTTCAACAAAAAGGCGGCATCAGAGGCCTTAAACTTAACCAAAACTCACCTTCGCACACTAGTACGAGCACTCACAGGGCATTGTGGACTGAACAGACACATGCACAATATGGGGATCAGCGACAGTAGAATGTGCAGAGGATGCAAGGAGGAAGAAGAAACACCTTTGCACATTTTGACCGATTGCCCGTTACTAATGCGAAAACGATGTATCTATCTGGGAAAGCACGTGATGCACCCAGACGATATTAAAGAACTTACGGCCAAGAAAATACTACAGTTCCTTGTAGAATGTAATCTTGACCGTGAACTGTAGTATGTGGAGATCACAATAGATCAGCAATGGTCGCAGTGATACTGGGCTGCATAAACCCAAGATAATCCGCAACTCGAAACAATACAATACAATACTGCTGAAATTATGCATTAATCATATTACAAAGTGGACCTAAGTTGGTTACATATAAGTATATTGACGCTAGAAAGCAAACACGTAGTAACCCACAAAACCATACTTGTTCTTCAGAGCAGAAAAACTTTTATTTTTCTCGATAAATAATCCCTATAAATATCCACGGTAACAAATAAAGTGTTCCTTAGTCAATTTATACCGAAATAAGATATTTTTTTGGAAAAATATAAAGAGTTTCCACTCTAAATATCCATTTTAGTTTTGCGGGTTACTAAGTGTCAAAGTCAAAGTCAAAATAATCTTTATTCAAATAGACTTCTTAAAAGTACTTTTGAATCGTCCAACATTTTTTTCCCTACCACTCATTCAGGACGTCTTTTGGCTTATAAGAAGAAAGAGCAAGAAACTCACCAGCTCTAATAAGAGTAATGACATTTACAAAAACCATGTCATTACCAGATCAATACATTATAAACAGAGATAGAAAAAAAACTATGGTCTTATAATGATAACATAATCATTTAATAATAATGGAAACAAGATAATGAGTTTAGAAGTAATAACCTATCCAGTTGCTGGATCATCTCAAGTCCAAGCATTCTTATCTGTTATATAATAAGCTTTTTTAATAAGTATTTTTTTGTAGTAGATTTAAACTGCATGAAATCTAATTGTTGTATTTTGCTTGGGACCTTATTGTAGAACCGCACACAAAGACCCTTGAATGAGTTATTAACTTTTTGCAGTCTAGTGACAGGCACCGTTAATTTATTTTTATTTCTTGTATTAAAATTGTGTACATCACTTTTTATAGAAAACAAACTAATATTTTTACGAACGTACATTAAGTTCTCGTATATGTATTGAGAAGCAATAGTCATAATGTCTATTTCCTTAAATTTCTCCCTTAAAGAGTCCCTAATCCTAAGATTATAAATTGATCGAATTGCTCTTTTCTGAAGCACAAAAATTGTTTGTATGTCGGCAGCATTTCCCCACAATAGGATTCCGTACGACATTACACTATGAAAGTAACTGAAGTATACTAATCTGGCAGTATCTATGTCAGTTAACCTACGTATTTCATTACGGCATATGCTGCAGAGCTAAGTCTACTCGACAATTTATCAATATGTGGGCCCCACTGTAGTTTAGAATCTAATGTTATTCCTAAAAATACTGTGGTATTCACAAGGCCCATGTTCTTATCTTTTATATTAACATTTAAATCTACTTTTTAACATTAGGTAGTACAAATTTTAAGCATTTTGTTTTTCCTTCATTAAGGACAAGATTATTTACATTAAACCAATGTACTACTTTAGCGATAGAATTGTTCACATCGTCATTTAGAGGTAACCCTCTTTAATTTTAAACAAGAGTGTAGTGTCATCCGCAAACAAAACTATTTCGTGATCATCCCTTACGAAATAAGGCAAGTCATTTATGTAAATCAAAAACAAGAAAGGACCAAGTCTTGAGCCCTGCCCATCTTAACTTTCGATGCAGGGGATCTTTTGCCATTGATATCAACCCTCTGTACTCTGTCAGTCAAGTATGAGACATCTAAAATCCAATGAGTTATCTCTAGAATCCATAAAAATGCAGTTTCCTAATCAATGTTTCATGAAAAACACAATCAAATGCCTTAGATAGGTCACAGAAAACACCTAACGCATCATGTGAATCCTCCCAGGCATTAAAAATTTCTTGTGTTAACTCAACACCGGCTTCGGTTGTTGAGCGACCCCTTGTAAAACCAAAAGAAAAGTGTTTGCTTTCCAGCTTCGATATAATATGTACATAATAGAAAAAGAGCACTAACTCATTCAATCTATACTATAGATTTTATTGAACACATATGAGTAGCAAATGTATCATTATGTAAAATTTTGTAATTCCTATATTTGGGCATTCTATCTCTAATTTCCTGCTTTACAGTTGAGACGTTTAAGTCTTTGTGTAGTTGTTCATTAGTTATGTACCAAGGTACATCCACTATAGTTCGCAGACTTATAAAATCTAATTCATTTAATATAATACTTTGTATCTATTATTACCTACCAAAATTAACTTCTTATGACTTGACCACGATTATGTGATGATTATGTCCCCTGGTTCCAAAGCTAGATGCGTCCTTGCCTTCAGATCAGATTGATCTACTATCAGCGTAATAAGTTGCTATTTTTGTTTCAGATGCAAAGTATGTAACATTACTTCTACTGATCACAAGGAGATCTATCAACATGTGAGAAACCATGTACTCGGTCAAGAACCCAGTGTTCACCTCTGCGACTCATGTGGTTGTAACTTTTCAACCCGCTCCTCACTCCTACGACACATGGCAAAACATGAGAAAACTAAGACCCTACAGTGCAACATGTGCTCAAAATATTTCACACAAGAAAAGTTATTGAATGAACATAAGTTAGAGCACTTGGATATGATAGTATGTGATCGATGTGGACAGACATTCAATAGTTTCAATATAAATGGACATTCTTGTATTTGATTTTATCTAACATTGGAAATATCAATTCCGAATAAAAGTCTTTTTAATTATTTATACAACACCATTTATTAAACGTCTTAAAGTTTTACAAAGTAATGTAAACTATTCTCAACTCTTACATTCATTAATAATACTACAAAAATTATATGATGTATTTACGAACTTCGCAGTTAATTCCAATGTAATTGATTTCATATTGCATGAATGAAGTCTTTATGAAAATATTTACGACAGTAAAGGGTCGCGAGATGGTCAGAGTTAGTTTCGCGGATTGCCCTGACATTTCGGACGATGCCCAGAGTTTCCAAATTGAGAAATGTTTAAAGAAATAATTAACTCAATAGATCGTTCGTCATTATCTAAGGAGCATACGATAAGTAAAGGCTTTTTTGCTCATTCATATTTTTCCGGGTTTCTGTATATTGGATTTTGATGTCCCGGTTACGTCCCAAAATTCCGATTTTTTGAATCATTTGCTCATAGAGTTTTTATCTAACCATCTAGCGATCCTAATTCTAAATGTCACACAAGGTACTCTGTTTAAATTACGTTTCTACTCCAATTTCGCAATTTATCATCAGTATTATTCTTAGCAAAAACAGAACCAACCTCTGTGGCCAAAACTGAAAAAATCGTAGAAAATAACCCTTATTCGGTAAGGCATAAGGTGGCTGATAGTAATCAATGTTTTCATAAATGACGGTATGCTTATATTCTTGTGATTTTTGCGAACCCCTAGAAAAGAAAGCGATGATATGTAATGAATAACGTATAAACACAGTTAGTTCAGATCAAGGGTGCGACCGTTTAATTCTTTTACAGTAACTATAGCTCAATGAGTTTAATATTATTGCCTAGGATACATACCATATCTTAGTAATGTTATGGCGATATTCGTTTCATAGAATAAACTTCAATGCAATAAAAATAATATTTTTTTTTCGATAATTATTATAATAATTTATCTGTAGTATCCATTGCATTAAGATTTGATTTTTTTTTTTTATAGATGATGTTTTGTTTTAGTTTATTTATTTTTGATAAAATGATATTCAATAATACTTGCCTTCCTTTCATCGTAACGATGTGAATTAAATTAAACAAAAATGTTTTAGAAACATCAAGATAATTATCAAGGTATATTTATCAAGATACTTATAAATTAATAATTATCATTCTGAACCCTGCTTTAATCATGATTATAGTTTTTTCGTTGTTACTAAAGTATATAACAAAATAGTAAAATAAAACGAATTACATATCGATATAACATCGCTAAGATGCCGTATCCTATGGCTAAAGAAAGGCGGTCGCACCCCAACAGTTGGGAGAATTGTAGCTGCCAACTCTAAGGAAACGCCCGGTATTTATACCTTCGATTATAATTCGAGCTGCTTCCTTCGCCGTGGTTTCGGAATACCAGGCGGTGAACCGGTGTGTTGGTGGTGGATACAGGCCGGTCGATATTGTAGCCAGGTAGACTGAGGTGGTGTTGATATTTTTCGTCCATGTATCTAAACGGAGCTCTTCGGTTATGGAGTCCATCAAACCTGGAGGATAAAGGTAAGAATAAGATGGTAAGATAATATAATACAAATTTGATGGTTTTTCTGGAAGACTGGGTAATAAAATAAAGAGTCAAGAGATGTTTAAAAAATATACGTCTTTATCAATAAGTATAACACTTAAAATAAAAATATTTCTGCATTCGATTAAATGAAGTGAATGAAGTGTATCCTAGGAACACTAGAAATAAAAATAGGCTAGTTCTTGACATAGTCCCAAAAAGCGCGCGATTTAAAAATAACTGCTACTGTATGTGTCAAACAATATTTAACAAGATTCCGGAATCTATAAAGAATACACCTTTTACTAGATTTAAGAGAGAATTATATAACTGGCTTGCTGAGCGTTCCTTTTATTCGTTGCATGAGTTCTTAGATTATAGAAACTGAACGGTAGCCTGGGTGGATTGATCAGTGCTTATAGTATCTTGCTTTACTACATTTGCATGCTATTGTTAATGGCTGAATAGGCGATAATTGTACTACTTTTTACATCTCTTTTGTATACCCTATTCAAACGCAAATAAATGATTATTATTATTATTTTTTTCTTTTTTTCTCAGCATAGCCGGTTTTATTATTATTATAAAATGTGTAAATCGAAATTAACACATTTTAATCGAAAGCAAAAATATTTTTTTACCGCCGCAACGAATAAAATTTAATTATTTTGAAATGGAAAAAATGCATCATATTATTATTCTAGCAACTTGTCAGAATTGAAACCATAAAAACTTCCTTTGCCCCACAGCATGGCATCTATGAAATACTTACCTATTAAAATTGAAAATATAGCGTTGAATAAACATACCTCTTAGACCAAACTTTGCAGCACAATATGGAATCATATCAGGGCAAGGCATCAGACCTGCACTGGAATTGATGGCAACAATATGCCCATGCCGCCTCTCTATCATGCTTGGCAGAAATGCTTGAATGATCTAAAATAATAACATCAAGTTGTCGGTTGGAGATAGGTAGGTACTTAGTAGTTAATCTCTGACTGGAGCGGTAAACCACTAATTTTTAATTTATAAAGTAGAAACACAGCGTAGGTATCTATGCCACACAAGAAGTTTGCAACTCTAGCACTTTTGGTTACAAAGAGAAGCTCTGGGCAGCTTAACTATCTTTCTCAAAAGTACATTACAAAAAATTATAAATGGCGAGTTTCCATGTGCTTGTTCACGTTAAGCCATTCTTGGTTGTGGACGTATCATCGTTATACACCTACCTAAACGTATTGGACCAAAGACGTGGTTCTGGATCTTCTTTCCTGTGTTTCTCTCCATGGAAATGGTTAGTGTCCAAATAGCGGGGACACGATTCAGTGACGATGGTGACGAGTAGCTCGGTGGTATAGCGGATAAGCGCCGCGGCCAGCGATCGTTGTTGTTAAGCAACTTTCGCAAAGGTTACGGGATGGGTGACTAAAAGGACATTATCTCTATCTACTTCGTGCTTCGAAAGGCACGTTAAGCAGTTGGCCCCGGCTGAATTTGCAGCCATTAATACCTTCGAATCTGAATTAATCCGCATTGGGTCAGCGTGAAGGGTCATACCCCATTCTCCTTAACTATGTGTAAAGAAGACCGGGCCTGCAGTGGAGACATAAAAGGGATGACGAAAGGTTGTGTAATGTAATTATTACCCAAAAATGTGCCAGCAAGTTGACTTCGATAAGTCTGGTCACGCTATCAGGCCGAAAATGGTTGAAAGGAGCGCACTTCAGAGCTCCCGCGTTGCTCACCACCATCGACACATCGGTCAGTTGCCGTCGCATGCGCGCTGCCAATGATGCCACTTGTTCCCGCGCAGTTATGTCCACCGTGAATCCAAAGCACTTATGAGCAAAGACCACAAGACAATAATTAATTAAATTAAAACAAATCTTATGCTAGAAGAATCTTTGCCCTTACGTACTGGCTGATTTAAAGAAATCGTACAGCCTAAATCGCTGGTTATAGGGACTTGGAAGATGAGAGGTTTGTCTTATTACGTTTATAACTAACTTTTGAATTATAACTATGGATTTTTAGAATAAAATGCTGAATACTAAATTGATACCCTCCAATGAGTTTTATTACCTTCATAAAATCTATGTTATTTTTTTTTGCAGATAAAACATCGTTGTGGCGTTCATTGAAATAAACTAGATGAATTCTTATAAAGTTATTATAAAAGCAGAATGTGTTCGCATCGGATGAGCCCTGATATTGTGTTAGGTAAATAACACAGGCCAATCTATTTTTTTTTGTAATAGGTACATAAGTATTAGGTAGGGGAGACCTAGGTGAGTTGTGACAGAGGTGAGTTGTGACAAGGAGGATTTCTCTCTACCTATTATAGTAAGCGAGATGGCATTAACGCTTGTTTGTCGTTCTCGACACGCGCTACACGACTCAGTAACTGTCGACGGTGCATATGCCGCAGTTGCGTAAATATATCGTCAATGTACAAAAAATTGCAAAAAGTAAGTTTTTCTTCAAAATATTATTTCAATATATATCATATCTTAGTATATGTACATTGATGTGTTATTTTTTCTTAAGTTATGTAGTTATTTAAGTCTCAATACGTGGCACTGATTTTTTGTATGCGCATTGTGTTTAGAAAATATAAATTATTATTCGGACCAAGACGTCATTTTGAACACCTAGGCGAGTTGTGACAGCCTGTCACAACTCTCCTATTTTACTCCATATTTCTGCTGGGCTATTTTTACATTTTTTTTTATTAACTTTAGATGTTTGTTGTTGTGTTAGTAGCTACTTAAAGTGTATATTGGCAGACCGCATACTTATTTTTTTTTTTGAGAATGCCAAATAACTATACAGAGACTGAAAATCTAAGAATGTTAAGAAGTGTGTCTTAAGCGAAGAAAAAAAAAAGAAACCTAAAAAACCAAAGAAGATTAATAGGAAGAATAGAACAAGTGATGAAGAAGATGCAGAAAATAATTGCTTTTATTTGGTTTGCCTTTAAGCCTATGCAGACAGCAGATCGAATGATCAGTGGGTCCAAAGCCTTGAATGCAAAGGCTAGGCACACGTAGATTGTACTGGGGACGAGCTGCATTACGTTTGGCATAATTGTGAATCTGATTAGATTAAGATTTTATACTAATTATAACAATAATATGATTGATCTCAAAGCGATACCATATTTAGTTAATGAAAATATTAGAATTACTTGTTATGAGAATATACTATACTACTAATACTATGTTGTTTTACTTGGTAGGTATTAAAAGATGATTAATCAAGTCAAATCAAATCAATCTTTATTGTTGATCGCAGGTTATATAAAGATATTGGATGCAAGGACTGAATAGTTACACCGTGATCTGCCTAAAAGGCATACAATATCAGTAAGTTAGTAATTGTCAACTAATCTAATCAATAACATGTTATGTCAAAAAATTAATTAATTCATTAAGTATTTATACATTTACAAAGTACTGTCAGCTAGATAGTGGTTTACACTATAATATGCTTTAGCTACTAATAATTTACAAAGTTTTCTTTTAAAAACATTACAATTATCCAGATTTCGTACTGTTTTTGGAATAATATCAAAAATTTTTGGAGCCATACAAAAGATACTTTTGTTTAATAGAGCTGTCTTAGAGGGTATCGTACACAATTTGTCTCGATGACGCAATCTCGTCTTATTTTCAAATAGTTGTTGATTCTGTTTGACAAAAATATCAACTTCGAATATATAGATTATGGCAGGGTCATAATATTTAGTTTAATAAAATATGGCCTACAGGTATCCGTACTCTGTAAATGACATATGCTCCCAACACATTTTTTCTGGGCTCTAAAGGCAGTTACAGAATCAGTCGAATATCCCCAAATATAATATCGAAATATCGAACAGTTGAAACTACGTACGCGAGATAAGCTGTAAGGACCGTGCACTGATTCGCGATCCTACTAAGTTTGTACAGTGCACAAGAATACTGGGACAACTTTGTAAACATGTTCAGTGTGTGTTTTCCAAGTCAAATTTATTATTATAGTACTGATTAAAGTACTGATTTGATAAAAAAAACGTGCTTGATTTATTTACGTCGTATGTAATGGTATTTTTATATCTTATAGCTTAAATACAATGATGTCACAACTTACCTCGGTACCTGTCACAACTTACCTCGGTGGTAGGAGAGTTGTGACAAGGGGAGTGGACTTGAATTTTGTTATTTTTTTCAGAAACTATTATACTTTAATTAATTTTAGTGATGGTTTTGAAAACAGAAGGAATGGCGCTAAACTAATTCACATGAGTCATAACTGTGGAATGTTTCTTAAGCGAGATAGAGCCCTTTATGTAAAAATTGTCACAACTCTCCTAGGTCTCCCCTAATTATTATATTTTGAAAACTACTGCGTTAAGCTGACGTTCGCCCCATCATCTGCGGTCTATCAACACCTAGGAGCGCACTAGTCTCGCGTGATAATATATGAATACTTCCTTCCAAGTAACAAAATGCTGTATCTCTGATATCTGCAGATGAGATATTAAGAGTTTGATGATGATGCCGATTATATGAATAATGATAGTTACATCGCCATCCTTGCGACGTATTTCATCTATGACCGAGTTGTTGCAACGCGCGTCATTGTCCCAACAGATGACCGTGGCACCAAGCTCAGCAAACTGCAACGCCAACTCTCGGCCTAGTCCATTACCAGCTCCTGTGATCTGCGAGCAATCAAGTAACACTACTAACTAAAATTATTTATTCTTAATGAAAATGCTTAAAAAATCACTTGGTCCCTGGCACCTTGAGATGGGGGCATTGTGAATGCGAAATTGGTCAAATAAAATTATTTAATTTATAATTATAATAGCTAAATAATGGTTTATGGTTACATGTAAAGAGTATAAACATCTAAAAGATTGTAAATTCCGCTGAAGAGTTTCCTGTCTCATCATTCTCGCTAATCTCTGTACAATTAAGTTTGTCATCGGTTTTGTCATCAGATATAATGGGGAAGGCTTTGAAAGCTACGTGCTGTTTGTTTATTGTATAGGCAAAGTCAACTTACCTTGACTATAATATAAACTTGCTACTTAGAAGATTTAACTAAAATTAAATATGATAAGATATTTTATTTATAATAAATAAAATATCATATTATTAAATATTTATTACCAACCAATACTGTTTCTCCATGGAGACTTTTCATAGCTGGCGGGATTAATATTTTAAATACTGCCATAACACAGGTAGAGCACAATTTTACTATCAATACCACAGTATCTACGGTCCACAAAGGAACACTAGATAATCCACCACTGCCCCACCATGGTAGAATCCAAACTTCTTGCAAAGCCCTAAATTTCCTCGCTGCACGTCCTACTGATCTCACAAATATATTTCTCCTATAATACATAAGTAAATTAAATCTTATAAAAGCTGTGAACTACGAAAGCCACTTTAATTCTGACCACAAATTCTGACAGTGATGCTCCCTTTGGCAATTTTCGTTTTTATTTAAATTTCGAAACTTTCGCATGAAGGTTGGAAGAAAAAAGGCGAGTTTCAGGATTTTATTCCGAGTAATTTGTTTTTACAAATATCATAGTGATTGTTTATCTTTTACTAAATACTTTTCGCAATTACATAAAAGACAAAATTAAGAGCAGAGCACATAGTAGGTCTTATATCAAATTGACAAATAATTTCAAAACAAGAAACAAGCGTTGGATTGCGATTACGTGGTATTTATATAAATCAACATGGCAAAACCTCTTCAAAAAGAGAGGGAAAACCGCTCCGCAGAGAAGAAGGATTTATCATTTCATCCATACACGATAACACCCGAAAGCGCTCACACTTCTATACTTCTTCTGGAGTCGAAAGAGCCTGAAATACTTTGCCAGGTAAGCCTACGATCTGTAGACTAATTTATGTATGCTCGAACTAATAAACTTTTCTAAAGATACCAAAACTATCCAAAAAAAGCCGGTGAAATTATAAATAGTAATATTTTATTCTAGACTTTGAGGGCAATCACAAAATTCTCAGCCCAAGACATAATCAACCGTAATGTGCTTTTCGATCTGAATGCTATACACTATATTCTGCCTCACGTTGATCACCCTGAACTGAATATTCGAAGGTTCGCTTTAAAGGCATTGGCCCAGCTTTGCCAACTTCCTAAGGGACCGGAGCAAGTGTTGGAGAACTCTCAGAACTTAAGGAAAATTGCTCAAATGCTGGTTAAGGTAATCATTTTAATGTAACACTTAAAAATTTTGCTATTTAGGTAATTTTAATAATATAATTAGCTTATTTTAAGCTATACTGTTCCGTTAAATAAATGTATATTCTTTACAGATGGAAGACGTTTTTGTTTTGGAGTTCGCGTCATTAGTTTTATCAGAATTGACTAAAGAGCCCTTGGGATGTGAACAATTGGTCTCTGCTAATATTCTTAGCAGTCTTTTCTCGAGAATGAAGAATAGTTTAGATCCAGATGTGCAGAAAAATTGCTTACAGGTGAAATTTGAGAAAAGTCATTGAATGCGTAATTTTTCTGACCTGCATATTTTAAATTATTTACATTTAAGAAGTATCATCATCGTTTTTCTCAGTTGGTTGCAATATTGATGAAATATAATTCTAGGTATTATTATTTTTATTTTATCTACTTATGGAAAAGTACTTAATTAATATTTATAATATGTAGATAGAACTTTAGTAAGTAAATTCTTAGGTATTATAAACGTTTGAAAATGTATTCATAATTGTTTTTTTTAAGACATTGAGCAATCTCCTTGATGATCCAGTATGTGCGTCAGAAGTGACGAAAAACCAGCAGTTCAGTTGGCCTTCCCTCTTAGCTTTGATGCAGAGCAAGTACCTTGCTATACAACACGCTGCTTTGAGAAGTGTGGATCAGTTGATCTGCAGATATAAAGATCAGGTTGTGCAGAGGACATTCAGAGCTTCCACTGGTGTGTTAGACCTTTGTGACATATTGGAGGTAAATTGATTGTAAGTAGGTATCTATCCATAAAATTACCTAACTGAAAATTAACCAGGTACAATAGGAAATGTCGATAAAGGATAATGTGACTGCAACTAAATAAGGATAGAGGAAATTTATTGCTGAATGATCGATGAATTGTAAAGTTATAAAACTCATGGTGTCGGAGGAATCTTTTAGAAAGCGATGTTAACATGTAAAAGTATTCTTCAGAGTAATTTTTTTTATAGTCCTATGAGTTCCGTGATGTTCATACCCAAGTTCTCGGGGTGTTACGAAACTATGTGGAAACCGAGGATAACGCATATCATTTGTACCAATCTGGATGCATCCTACGTCTACTTGCCTACCTGGAGATGGCGTTGCCGGCGATGAAACCGCACTGCCTTGCTGTTCTCACAAAAATGTCTTTCACCTCCAATGGACGAGATGTTAGTCAGAAATATCTAAATAAGTATATAAAATATTTTACTTACAGTCAGACTTGGTAGTTTTTTGTTAAGTATTGATATTTTAATGACAACAACCGGAGAATACTTACTTAATAGCTATATTAATATTTAGAACACCGTACTAATAGTAAATACGCAAGCAAGACTAAAGAGAGAGACTTGAAAATTTTCATGAGTTTAATTTTCAAATCAAATAAAATATGATTAATAAAATTATTCACACTTTTACTAGCAGATTTGTCTCCCAAAAATAAATAAAACTTACTCTTATCATTGCTTGCTAAAAATATTTAGTTACTCCCTATAGTTTAATGTCCTTATTTCTTACTCAGGCGTTGTACCAAACAGGCACTGACCTAGTGTTCTGCCATCAACTCCTGAGTTCTAATGTGGAGTTGTTAGCAGACGCCGCTATGGGTGTCGCGAACATGACAAAGCTGCTGCCATCCGCCGTCAGGATGTGTGATACTAACATTATTGAAGCATTATGTGGTAAATGTGGTTTTGCAATCTCTAAAATTTTTACAATTGCCGTTGCGAGTTTTATTATGAACGGTATCCGGTTGTATCTGCTGTCATTCACATTTTTCAATCCATAAGGTGGTGGCGTTCTCCCTATGCGATTCTTTTCATAGGCATCCAGGAGTGAGGACATTAATATTCTAATGTTACATAGATCGGTTAGAAAACTCTCCCGGATTCATTAAATAAATATTTTATGGTATAACAAATACGACCTTTTTTTTTTGTTAACGCAGGGGAAATGCACCTTAAGCCTTAAACCAGGGCTCCTTTTCCACCCCGACCTTAAAAGGGCAGGTTAATGTGGAAGCCCTACCTGGTAAAACGCGCTGCGGTTCACCTCACGCCAATGGATGAGTTTGGTATCCAGTAAGGAGGACCCGGATTCAAAGGAGGGCCCGGACCCATATAACAAATACTACCTACATAGTTGCAATATAAATACATTATCTGTAAATTTGTATAAAATTTGAACTATCTAACTAGCACGGCTCATGAGAAACAACCTGGTATCAGCAAAGAAATCGCATCTGTTGAATAGGAGCCCCATAAATATTTATTTTATAGTATTTGTTGGTAATTTATTTTATAGTATATATCGGCAATAGAAATACATTGTCTGTCTATATTTCAATTGTCTAACTATCACAGTTGAGATACAGCCTGGTGACCAACAGACACATAACGAAGTCTTAGTAATACGGTTTCCGTTTTACCCTTTAGGTACGGTAGGCTAAAAATGCATTTAAAACGTGTGAAGTTTGTGACAGCTATATTGGGCGACGACGCTGCGGTGTGGTTCTACATCCGCATGAACTCACTACGTGCTCTGGCAGAGCTTTGCCGCATTATACCAAAGGCGGCATTCAGTCTCGTCGAGCCGAAGACCTTCGCTGCCTTACGTGCTATTAATAAAAAGTGTAAGTGTTTTTGTGCGAGACGTACATTGACCGCGAACATGCCGGCCGCGTTCATATTGCACCGTATGCATATTTTGAACCGCTTCGTAGTGATTTACTTAGTTATAGGTTTTTTATTAATTGTTAATTATACGTCGACCACCATACCAAGCGCGTGTATACTCCATAACCATTACTTCTCCATCTGTACTGTTTCCTCATACATAATTTTAACACAACCATTATAAATTGTATTTTCTTTATCTTATAATTTGTTAAATAGTGTATTTATAATAAACTTTGTCCTTTACTTTTTTTAGGTGTAGGTCCCGCATAGTCCGTACAGTTTTTTTTTTATCTATGTATAAATTAGGAATGTACATTCTAAAAATATCATATGTTAAGCATCTATTTATGTTGTAAAAGTAAAATAAATTACGTTGATTTTAGTTTCTGTCTTATAGTTAAAGATACGCCGATAGAAGCGCAACGTTTAGCTGTACAATGCTACATCAATCTGCAAAACTACCATGTCAGCACGAAAGCAATGCTGAATGCCGAGTTCATGCAGGAATTGTTAAATATTCTCCAGGTGAAAACTGTGTATATCTTGAATTATAACGAAGAAAATACATTGATCTGCATCCACCGATGGTAATAATAAATTTTAGAAATCGACAAGTTACTAGATATTTTGTTTCAATAGATATTCAAGCAAATTTTTTAAATACCTTCCTCCAATATTTTGTTAGTATGCTAAATCCTTGTATTTTTATCTTACTTGTACTTATACTTCGTTGATATACGATTGGTTTTTGCTGTTTTGTTTGATGCAAAACTTATTACTTCTTTAAAATTAACTTTACTTATTTTCTAAATTCTTGACAGCGGATTGACATAGCACTGAAGATTATGGTGTGTACCGTTTTAAGTGGACTTATGGCTGAGGATATAGCAAAGGAGTTGTTCACTGTACGCAATGGAGAAGAGGTTGGTTTGCATTCAGAGAAGTAAGCTCAAAATATTTCTTTGGATGATGGCATTACGATTGTGAACCTTGTGTTTCGTGTTATAAAGGTGGTTTCGAGCAACTTACATATAGAACATATAGGTTTACGGACAGCTTTGTGCACTCTGATCACTTGCAGCGTCACTGATGAAGGTGCTGATGTGTATTTGGAGTTGGGCACTATACATTAGTGAGTGATTATATTTTGTTCTATGACGTATTTATATAAGGTAAATTATATATTTGACTTTTAGTTATTTCATTTGTAATTATTTGCTTTGTGACACTTGATTATACCTACACATGAAGTGTACTTAATTCTAGCGTCGCGTGAATTCAAAGTGTATTAGTGAAGCAAAAAGTAGCATAGGTAATGTCTCAAATCTAAAACCGGGCATCAGGGCTCTCTAACAACCCCTGTCTTAAGAAGGAAAAGTTAAGGCATGGTTGGCCTACCTGGTAAAAGCGGCTGCAGAATACCCTCTATGGGAGTAGAAGTATCCTGAATCTGGCAAGGAGCCAGCCGAATCACACAATATTGTCTCTGTGCTTGTGTACTATGTAGTCACAGTTTGCTTTACTTTATTTAAAAATGTTTTGAAATTTACAGTATGGTTGGAAATAAACTGGCTAGGTATGTGGTCGGAGCTTGGGAACCAGCTCTGGAGGCCATATTCAATCATCACCCCTCTGCTAAGCTTGCATATACAGGACGATTGGATATCAACGACTTTGCAAAGGTACCAATATTTAGTAATCTACAAAATCTTTAATCTCCTATTTAAATTTTTTGATTGTGATACTTTCGTAGGAAGGATTCTATGTCCAGAAGCGATTGGATAGCTCCTTCCCTACGCTTCGAGTGGCGATGGAAAAGAAACCACCACATAAGGATCCAGTCTTCGTGTGCATGTTCTATCAGCCGCCTACTGACAGAGCTTCAAGCATGGACATTAGAGCACCATGTAAGTCTCACTACGATCGAAGCATAGCTTATATTATTATGTGGTCGAAGATAGTATTTGCATCTCATTTTGCCTATATTTCATTTTTACTGAGTTCGTAATAATACCATCAGCTCTGAACATATTTACGTAGCACTAAAACAGCAGAATTCAACAGTAGTCTGGAACAATAACATAAAGATTTTTGGAACAGTTCGAGAGTCTGAATCTAAGTTGAAGATGACCTCATCCGCGCGCTTGCGAGCTGCACCTCTGCCTGACGACCACAATTTACGCTCATACCTCACACGACTCAAGATATGGTTCGGAGATCCGTAAGTTGGCAATATGCCTTTTTAATATCAATCACTTTTTAGTTTTTAATATGTTTTTGATTGTATATTTTGTATTAAGAATAATTTCTTTATGGCATTGTGAATGCAAAATTAATCGAAGTATAATAATAAGAACAAAATTCTCGTCGTTATAGAAAGTTTCAATACTTGTAACAATATTTCTTTCGGCTGTTTGGGTGGATGCCTGAAAATTGATGAGAATACGCTCTGTAGTAGCGAAAAGTAACAAGTGCTTGAAAGATTTGTCAGTCCTGTTAGGTCCTAGGTAGCTCAGCGGTCAGAGCAGTCGCCCGGATTGCAAAATGACGTGGGTTCGATTCCCGTCTCAGGGTGCCAGGGACCAAGTGGATTTTTTAAGCATTTTGTGTTAAGAATAACCACTAGACATATTTGAAAAATCTTTCACTTAATCTTTAACAAAGGCTATAATTTACACATGCGAAGTCGCGGGAAAACAATGTAACAAAGTAAAAAAAGGTAAGTGAGAAAGACATGTTATTGGATTAAACAGTGGAAATGTAATGGATTCTTATTCTAATAGATTCTTAGCTAAATATTCTGGTTTGCTATTGTTGTCCAGAGCAAAATCCCTGCATTATCTGGAGATAGAAGATGCGCATTACGAAGTAAGGTAATTATTATATTATTTTTGATAGTACTATTATTTTTCTAATAGTAATTATTATATAGTTAGTTGTAGAAACTTGAATGCGTTTTAGATTGTTATTCCAATATCGTTTATCTAAGTTTAGATTATTATATAAGTACACCATCGCTATTCGCATATTTGCATTTGCTGCTTTGCTTGGTTTGTGATAGGTACCGAGAGAAGTGCGACGAGGTCTCCTCGTCTCTGAAACAGAGAGCAGCGTTGTTGGCAGAATTTGTGGCCGAGCAGATGTGCGGTTTGTCGCAGGAAAGAGATTGCTCGGTGGCAAGCGTGGACTTACACTTGGCTGATTTGATGGTGGGTTGCAGAGGGGGCCAGTATTATGTACATTGTACAGCAATGCATAAATTGCTTCGTTAGTTAAGTCCTTTTGTTGTGGAAATCACAAACATTGAAGTTATAAAAAACTCAATTTCATAAGTATGTTAAAATGTTTATATAATTACTTCTATCGATTTTGACGCTCCTGTCAGGACTCGAAGCCTTCGCATCAGGCGACTGCTCAATCAATGAGCTACTAGAAAACTTGCTCAATCAATGAGCTACTAGAAACTTGCTCAATCAATGAGCTACTAGAAACTTGCTCAATCAATGAACTACTAGAAACTTGCTCAATCAATGAACTACTAGAAACTTGCTCAATCAATGAACTACTAGAAACTTGCTCATTAGCTACCAGAAACTACGAGACTGACGTTTTTAATAACTCCTTATTGCGCTGCTACTTGAAAATGCATTTCCGTCATTATTTAGGTAAACACTACCTAAATACGATTTATAAATAATAAAACAAGTGCGAGTTGGGCTTGCGTACGAATAGTCCCGTACCGAAAACGAGCAAAAAATCAGGTTTGTTGTATGGGAGCCCATTTAAATATTTATTTTATTGTTTTTTTTTATTTTGTATTTTTTGTGTGTAAATTTAAACTCTTTAACTTTCACGGTTCATGAGATGAAGCCTGGTGATGGGACAGACAGACAGCGAAGTCTTAGTAATAGGGTGCCTGTTTTATCCTTTGGGTTTAGTTTGGCTTTTGAAGAAATTTTTCTGCCCATGTAGAGTGAACTGTCCTCTCCGGCAATCGGCATAGGTTGGGTCAGGTGCGGCGGTTCACTGGAGCGCAGTATCCTGTACAAGGTGCTGGCGGACCGGCTGGGGCTGCCCTGCGCGCTCTACCGCGCCGGCAGCCGCGCCTGGTGCGAGGTGGCCGTGCCTGAGCTACGACTGGTCAGCTATACTGACTAATATTTTACATCAGAGGTTCCCAAACATACTCTTTGGATACCCTTTGATTGGGTTTATGTAAAAACCTCCTCCAGAGAATTCCTAGCTGTGCACATAAAGGGATAATTACCGTTTAGGTGTAGGCTAATAATAGTAACAAAAAAAAACTTTTTGAACCTTTATTAAGTTAGTTTTTGTTTTTATCTTAAAAAATACTTGAAAAATTGCTCTTGTTAGTACCTAGATTTAGTATGTCGTAGTTATTACACCTTATCAGGTGTAATATTTTATCAAAACTTAGGATGAGGAGTTGGAACGAGAAGAGAAGTATCCGGCGGGACTGTTACGCGCCAACTATGTGGTGGACCTGATGATGCGTCCAGGCATGTTGTACGTGAAGGACAGTCACGAGGCAGCGCGAGTATGCGGACCCACGTGTATGCCGCCATACACAGCCAGAGAATTGCCCGAAGTGTGCCGTTGTGAATGACATAAGTCGTTTTATTTAGACAACTTTACCAAGTGAAAATGGAGAGTAGGTATAATATGTATACTTGCGATTGATTTGAAGATATTTGAATATAAATAGACGATTCAATTACTGTTTTTTATTTAATTATAACTTACAAATTTTATTAATATCGTCAGGAATACGTTCAATGATACGAGGTAGTTATTTAAGTGTTTATTATATTAAAATATAACAAGTTTCAAAACATTTTAATCCTTTTTCCCCATTCTCGCCTTTTAAAATTAATATTTCCCGATTTACCATCAGATTACATACATATTATTGGATACACATCTATATATTATTTTATTACAGATAAAAATCCACTTTGTCCGTATCACTCTGAGTGTCAAGGCTAAAGAGGATTTTTTTAATATTTTCCAGTAAGTATAGAATTGTGAATGCAATATTGATCAAATATAATCAATAAAAATATTCTGGTTCATATCCGGCTCGAAGGACCATTTCGATATCATGCAATGTAAATTGTGGGAACTTGATATTTTTTTCTTACAGTTTTTAAAAGTTGAGAATTTTGGTGGTATTTTTTTTCCCCAATGTTACATATGAGCATCGGAGTAAAAGATACAGTAGAATAGTTAGTGCTACTTTGTGTAAGATTATTTTTATAATTAATATATTTTCGATTATGTTAATCCATAACATTGCATATTCAGTAATGAATATTGAAATAAAAAATATCGTTACTTATTTCAATTGTCTTTTATTATAAGGCAGGCTTCGTTACACTTCAAAACAATAAATATTTTTTTTAATTAAAAAAATCTCACAGGCACTTTTTCAGACACATGATTGCACTTGATGGACGGACATACGATCACAAACAAATACCTACTTAAGTTATATATCTAATTAAAACTTTTTAAAGTTATACACATATTCAATATTACTCTAATATCTATATTTTAAAGTCAGGATATTTAGCTTAAATATTATACTTATTACTAAGTAAAATACCTTTTAGGTGACACAGAAAAATTACTGCTTAAAAATGAACAAAAAAATAGATAAGAATATTAATTCATTCAAAATTCTATAATACAAATAATAATTCATCTAAAATATTAATAATAAATTTAGCATAATTTAAAAATCCAAAATTATAATTTAAATATAATTTCTATGTTTTTGTAGTAAGCTGTACGATAAATAATTTTGTTTCTAAATAATTTTCCTTCTTCATCTCTGTAAATCGACATACTTGTTAGAGCTATCTAATATTATCTCACTTTGTGAGAAAAATAAAAATATATGAAAATAAAATGAGCGTATACTACCTTACAATTATTAAAGGTAAACTCAAATGAATCGCACCGAAGGCGAAAGAAAGGAATTAAGAATTTCTACGAAAATATATGTATCTTCGCACGCCAGAACGAATAGGATATATTACTGCAACTTTCTGTCGCCGGATTAGCATATGTAGTAAACAATATTTTTTTTATAAACGTCAAACGTAATAAAGAGTAAAGTAATAGTCAGCATATAAGCACAGAATTTATAATTAGAAAGAGTGAAATTTTAACCGATAATACATCGTTGCTGCATATTTGGATGCAAGAAACGGTTCCTTTATTTCTCAAAGAAAAACTTTGAAAACATTTTTATGTCTACTACGTGTTCTTGTGCTGCCATCCTATTAATTGGCGTAATAAAATTCGTTTCGCTCACCACCTTCGGCTTTGAATGATCTGTTATCGGTCATCTATACATTCCATCACTTTCTGTTCCAAAATTTTGTTTGGTAACAACATTCAGAACCGGAGTGATAAAAAAAAAAAAAAACTATCAGTTTGTAAGCAAACCGGATGACCATACGATGAAACTAGTCACGACAATGTTAAAACCAACTGGAGGTCGTAACACTGAAGGCACACTACACTTAAGGTTAAATGGGAATTTTTAAATACTTAAAAAATCAGTCTAATTATTAAGAAATTTATAATGGCAGCAATATTTTCTTACCATTTTTATATTTAACATCTAACAGTTCATTTAACATATTATATTTACGTAAGATATTTTTAAATAAGAGAAGTTTGTTGTTGTATAAAAAATTTATTTGACACACGAATTTGTCAATAAATGTGTTAATATAGTATGGATATGCCTGGGATAAATAATATATCGTTATATACACGTAATATAATTTTCTTTGAATATTTATTTATTTATTTAATCTTAATTGCCTAGCGAAATAGACAAATGGCGGACTTAATGCCAAAGAGGCATTCTCTATCAGTCAGTACATTTAGTACAAAACTTAAAGTGGCGATTGGTGACAATATGCTACTGATATCTCTATATTATACATATTCAATAGATTTTTTTTTTATTGAAAGGTCTAGACAATTTTAAAAACTCAGGGGCTCTAACACGTAACTAATTGAACTTAATGTCATTAAATTTTGAATTTAAGTATCAAATTATGACTCAATGATGTTAGTTGATGGAGTCCGCATGCGGAGTGCGGTCGATCTCATTTTATTGGTTGATAAACCAATAACTAATCAATGAGCCAAGTAAATCACTCGCACCCCGCATGCAGACGACATCGACTAATTTAAACGAGTCATTAAAGAGCAACTGTGTCAGATGCGTACATGAAATTAATTTCACTTGACGGAACATCTGCCCAGTGATGCGGTAAGACTAATTTAAAGAAATATATAAACATCAAAATTAAACTGAAATTCATATTACGTGATAGACACCCAGATCTCTGAGTCGTATCCATATTAACATCTCATATAACACGTAGTGGTGTCAATTAAAAATAATATAAGTATATTTGTTAAGTGTAAAGTTTGTAAAAAACGGATTATTCTACCAATTACAATGGACACTTTGTTCAGTCGTTTCTTTATAAATATAATACAGTATTAACTTAACTATCAATAATCTTAGTTAATAATACTAGAAATAACGTACAGTTCACACATCAAGTCATAGAAAACTGCCTACAATCGAATATAACCTTAATCTGTGCACAGGAAAGTTCCATTTCGACTATGATTCTTATACTTACACAGTTTTGTGGTATCGTTATATGTTGCGGTCTGATCGATCTTTTTTCTAACGATTGTTTTGAATAATTTATTAGTTTCGAATATATATTGATTCTCACACGATATTCGTGTTTTAAAAATAACAAAGTAGTCAGCGGGACTTCGCATATGATCAGACAGTAGTTTGCGGGACTCCGTGTACAATCTGCGTGCGGGACCTGGTCCGCGGTAAAGGTTCAGGCGCTCGTGATACAACGCCCTCTTTGAGAGATAAAGCAGATCCAGTAGATGCTTGTGATGCCGGACGTGATTGTAGAGTTTGAGCCTGACTCGTCTGTAATATTCATTTATATCATATATTTCCAATAACAATTTATATAGAAAAACTTAAAAAAAAACTGACTTCAAACTTTAAAAAAAATATGCATAATATTTATCTCAAAAGCTTCTTTTTGATGAAAAACATTTAATTAATAACCTACAGAAGCCTCGGCCTCCGCCCGCCCGACTACCAAAACCAGCAATCAAATAAAATCTACTTCGAAAGATACTAGGGGTTTTATTTTATTTAAGCTTTTTTACTTATGGTGCTGTTTTATTGACCAATAACAGCTCCAAGTGTCGTTTTATCACCGTCTTTCACTCAGTTCCGTTTTTTAATACTAAGTATTATGGTAATGGAAACCGAAGACGATGGTTATTATATTATATTGCCACTGTCAAATTAATTATAAACATACGCCTGTTTATTATAAATCAAATTCCTAGATGGCGCTGTTCGTAGCTTATTTATATCTTTTTATTTCGTTGTCGATTGTTACACGGATCTTTTATTGTTTTATTGACATCTTTTAATAGACTACTTTGTTCCGATATGTACATATCGGAATTACGTCATGAATATGAAAGACAGTTCTTTAAATAAAAATACCCTCACAAGTACTATTGCAAACAGAGTAGAATATCCTATTGTGATTTTAGTAATTAATCATTATGAAGACGCCGTTAGTACACAGACGCATTCTCTTGCGAAAGCGATACTATACGAATTCGAACAGGGTTGTCACCTTTTCGTGATCAGAAATCGGGACGGATGGCAACCTTGAATGCAAAACATGCGCGTCTATGTACATTTTTCGCAAGTGACTGCGAAACCGTACGGATAAGGACAGAGCTAATTCATCGAGCTAATAATAGAGCGAGACAAAGCACACGCTATATTTTAAATAGGTACATCAGTTGAAATAGTGCCTAATAGTACCTATTTAAAATAGTGCAAGCACTTATTGACCTATCGTCTCTTCTCTCTTTATTAAATTTCAATATAAAATACATATCGCGTATCTCCATAAAAATAAAATTTTCTACTTACAAATCTATAGAAATAACACGTCATTTTATAATACTATTACAAGTATGTGTCGCCTGTATAATGGATCTTGTAGTTGAGCATTGTTCACTAGATATATTTAACGGTAGAATAAAATACTTAAAAGAAAAGTCCAAGGCATCCTGCGTTCTTAGAAGCATGTGTTTGTCTGTTTTCTTTATATGTTTAAGAGTTGCGGCATGGTTTATTTCTTAATGAGGAAATATTAAAAAAAATAACATTAGTTCCCGAAATAAAACTAGATGTCGCTACGGTACATTCTTGATTTCTCCATAACAACCCTTCCGGTTTTCTTTCATGTTCAAAAGTAAATTAGTTTTCAAAACTCAATAAACAACTCATATTCTATTTGTATTGATATCTAAGTATCGATCTTTTCAAATTTCAGTTAAAACGAACGGAAACGACTGTCTTCGGTCCATTCGTTTGCAAAAATCAACTTATTCTAGAGTCGCCATCTAGTGGAGGTGCTTTTTTAATGATTTCGTTTTTTTTTAATTATTCCTCATTGTGTATATTACTGTAACTTGTTTAGTGAGCTAAATAAATAAATATATATAAGTAATTGTACTGACCGCGCGACTGAGCGTCTGCGGCGTGGGCGGCCGCTTGACTGGCACGTCGCGGTACTCGTATATGTTGTCGCGCGACCGGGACGCGTTCTCTATACCTTCATCTGGCACCATGAAGATGTCGCCACTGTAGTACCGGTCCGTTTCACTGCATCGCGCATGATACATTAGAACACAACGTATATAAAGTTATCATGAATACGTTTGAAAGTGAGGTGCCATGAAAAAAATGTGTATAATGATAAAAGCTGCAAACTATTAACCGAATATTATGTGTAGACAAAATTTTGTGTGCTTATTTTATTTTTAAATTTTAAATATATTTTCACTAGATGAGAGCGTAAAAATAAAGTGCACGTTTCATTTAAAGTAAAGCCAGCGAAACAACAACAAAAAAAAAGTTAACAATCTGACCGATCCAGAGTGACATATAAAAATGTTATTGTCTGTCTGTCCTGTCGTACATATTGATGTCGTCCGTTAGTTAGCGACCGTTATCATCGAGTAATTCTTGGTGCAAGAAAGCTGTCTTTAGAGAAGGTAGGAAGGTAGTACATGCGCAACCCACCTCCATCAGTTTTTTTTATATAACAATATGATTGAAATGAAAATATAATAGCCAGTTTTGTTATAAAACGGCAGATTCCACTTTTGTAACAAATTACCTTCCTATATTACAGATAATGAAAATAAGTTTAATAAGACCTGTATAAAATTTCTCCAAATAAAAATGTTGAGAACCCCTGAAATTTTTTCGTCTCGTTTTAGTGGCCTTATTTTGATCTTTTGTAAATGTTAGCAGTTTTTTTTAATAATAAGCATTGCAACATATAAAAAGCGACACAAAGAACAAGCGAAAATGTTAATATTGTTAATGTCACCTACACAGCTGGTACCATTTTCCATTTAGGTGGAGCAGCCCTGTCGAAGAAGGGTGTATTTAATGGGTATGTTAATGTTTTAGTCAATCACACATAAATAAATGTAAAAAATATTAGCGTACATGCGAAAAAGGTTGACAGTTATGAAGAAGCAACACGAGTTTAAAATATTGAGATTTATACTTAATGGCTCATTAATCGTTGGGGTACGCATGCGGGGATTCCGAAGGCGGAGTAACGACTAATGTAAGTCAACAGTCAATAGCTATATTCTCACTAAGTGCGTTATAAAAACGTGTTTCTCGAATGCGAGCTGTATGGCATGCGTCAGACGTCTAGCTTACCCCGCATGCGGACAGTATAACAAAAAACCCGATTTGTAAATTTTATCCGGCATCACATATCTCTTTCACACGTGCGCAAATATAGATATTGCGCTCACACTGATGTATCTAGCCAATTTTGTCATAGTAATGTTAAAATATTAAAATCTTATAAAACTATATATATAAATTTTGTCTGTTTGGCGACTGGACTACAGTTGTACAAACAAACTAATATGAAAAATGAAAAAAAAATCTCTTTACATTTCCATCTACACTCAAAATGGTTATACATTTTTATGACATGAATATATGTAAGTATATAAATATATCATACCGTTTCGCATTACGCCACAGCATGCAACAGACGACCAGCAATACTATAAGCACCAGACACGCGCTCGACACTGACCAAAAGGCGATCTGTAGAGGCTGTTTCGGCTCCCACCAATACTAATGAAAGAGACAAACGCATTTAGTTGACAAAGACTTAGTGGAATGTCACAGTATGCGTTAAAAGGAAAACTAATGCGATCAAATAAATCGAACGTCAATTTTCTTCGTAGAAAAACTACTGTTTTATTTTTCTGAATTTTCTTAAAACACAACATTTGAGCATCATATATATATTATTATTATTTTTTTATATTATTTTATATATATTTCCACTTATTTGTTTTTACTACACAAGAAAATATTATAGATAAAAATAAGAAATAAACACGACTGCCAAAATGGAAGTAGAAATAAAATAAACAAGTTGTATTATTGCTTGGCTAAATAAAATTCTCTTTGCAGCCGAGGGACCCCTTAAATACAACTGTTCCACAGAACGGTCCCCCGACCACAAAGAGGTTTTTTAAGCTAATTTAAGTACAACTTGTTTCTTTTATTTTTAGATCGATTTTGGTAGTCGTGTTTTTAATTTTTAATTTTATTCCTTTTAGTGAGCAGTTATGTGTATAAATTTTATTATTAAATATTATTTTTTCCTTTTTAAATGAAATTATACATCCGCTATATTGAATATTAAATAAAATATATATGTATAGCCAGTGTACTCGGGATGACATATAAAAACTCGTAAACTATCACATTAGTAAATATAGTAAATTTTTACAAACAATTTTAAACTCTACTACCGATATAGTAAGGGTTAGAATTGATTGCAGGAAGTATTGTACCTCTGTGATGGGCGGGTACGTAGGCACCAGTCGTCCTATAACGCTGGGCAGGTACATTGTCCAGAATGCGAGTTCCGTCTGTCTGTAGTTGAGCTGTATGCTGGAGTTGAAGGTTGTGTTCAGATTTAAGTAACGAAGCTGTCCAGCTTTCGCTTCCTCGAAGTGGATACCCAGGATACGTGAACGAGTCGGATTTCTATGATAATGTATTAATCATATTAATAATTATATCAAATGCGTAAAAAGAAATCATTATTTCATAACAGTAAGCCTTTGACATAATAAAAAAACATGAAGGTTATGTGTGAACGCACTTGTATAAGTTTAAGGAACTCCATAGCATAGCAATGAATGCATTAGGTTTATAATTGCATAGAAAAGAGCACTTTCAGAAATAACTGTTATTAGATGAATGACCACAAATGTTCTGTCCAAAGCTACTAATTTGCACTGGGTTTGATTGTTCTCGTTGCTCAGCTATTATATTTTGAATAATTTTGCATTCACAATGCCATAGTGAAAACTATTCTTAAAAACTAAATTTGGTCCCTGGCAACCTGAGATGGCAATCGAACCCGGGAGACTGCTTTAACCACTGAGCTACCCAGGACCTAACAGGACTGACGCATCTTTCAAGCACTTGTTACTTTTCGCTACTACAGAGCCCTCCTTATGGTTGGTTAAGGAGTATAGGCCATGACCCTTCACGCAGACCCAAAGCGGATTAGATAGTTTTAACGACTGCAAATGCATCCGGGATCAACGGCTTAACGTGCTTTCCGAAGCACGGAGTATCACTGAATAATAATTTTTTGGTCACCCATCCCGTGATCGACACTTACGAAAGTCGCTTAACAACAAAGCGGCGCCTATCCACTACGCCACCAAGCTACTCTACACATATTCTTTATAGATTGTTACACAGAATACCTAATAATTAAGTTGAACATATTGAAAATTCACTTACCCAAATCTAGCAAAATCCGAATACGCCTTCATGAAGAAATGGCTCATATTGCGATCATTGGGGGTCCACATTTGTCTGTCTATACGTTGTTTTAGTGGGAAAAACTCTTGGTCCATAAAAGGTGCCCCAGTCAGGAATACTCTCTCTATATCGTGAGGATACAGACGCCACTCGGGCCATTTGTACGCTTCCACGGTCGTGTTGAGAACGTACATGTATACAGGCACATTTTGTTCTAGTAGCAGCTTTACCATCTTATCGGTGGGTGCACGGTAGAGGAAATCCGAGAGAAGCTGCATATGAAACAATATTTGTGTTGTAGAATAGGGCTATATATATGGCAGCATTTATAGAGCTTTAAATATAAATAGAAAATTCAAACAAAGAATCATAGAAAAACAAAGTTTTTTTTTGTATTATTATATAATAAGTGATTTCACTATTATCAGATTATCACCTGGTGTGGGAACACTTTGCCTTGTCACTTTCGTATGTAATTTTTAAGTTTCAAGTGTAGTATATTTATTATTTAATTTATAAGTTCATATAAAAACTAATTGGTTATTCAAATACGTTGAATATAGGACCGTACAGCAATAAGATAAAAAAATTGTGTGTGGTTAAAAAGTTCATAAAGTTTAATTATTATTCGCTGAATATTTTTGGTAGAAAATAATTATTTCTAATTTTAAATCAATCAACAAAAATATAATTTTCCAATATTTATAGTACGTGTCTAACATCAAACGAAACACCAATCAGAGCGCAGGACGTCATTTGTGGATAAACAAATTGCTAAATAATTTTAAGCATTCACTTGATTTTCAGCAAGTTACAACGGCCAGTCTTTTATATTATCCTATTAATATTATAAAGGCGAAAGTTTGTAAGTATGGATGTATGGATGTTTGTTACTCTTTCACGAAAAAACTACTGGACGGATTTGGATAAAACTTTACAGCAATATAGGTTATACATCAGAATAACACATAGGGTACTTTTTACTGGGAAAACTTCTCACTCCCACGGGATACCGACTTCCACGCGGACGAAGTCGCGGGCGTCCACTAGTTTATTTATAAGTTTGAATATAAATACTGAATACTAAATTTTTTTCACTGAAAATTAGTTTGTTTACCCCGCAAATGACGTCAAAACCTCAGAGTCGCTGTTTTCGCGGTTAATTTAAACAATTAAATTTCAAACATTGTTTTGAGTAAATAAGGTTTTTTAAAAAATATATATACGTCGGCGGGTAGTCCGAAGGGGCTATAACGAAGCCCAAATAGATCGTCCATATCAGGGGACTATTTTTAAAATAACATTGCAGGCGTGTATACCAACGTGGATTTATTCCATTTTATCACTTTTCAAACGAAAATATAACGAGATGAGCGTGATGTCGTCGGATTTACTTTCTCCTTGGCGATCGGAAACAGAATGTGTGCCAAAATGGCGGCAATTTGCTTTTTATTAACGAACTGTCAAAGTCAGTGTTACCATTCTAATAAATTTAAAGGTATCGATGATCACGCTCTCTCTACAATCGAGTATTCGAGATTAAGTAATCGAGTAACTAGCAATTAAAATAAAAGAAACTAAATCAAACGATCTTCGTAAAGATGATGCGAAACATATATATATATATATATATATTTTTTTTTTTTTTTTTTGTGGGAATAAGCACACATACTGTCTAATTTAAAATAGTGTTTAGAAAGTTGTCCGATCTCCTATTGCCGCAGGTATCGGTATCTTATAACATGTAGTGTAATAAGGTTGATATTTGTCTCACGTGTATGTATTGGTCTCTTATAGCGCTGACGTTGTGAGGATCTGGATGGTAGGTGTACATGTATCTGACGGCTTCGTAAACGCCGCGAGGGTTCAGCGTGTAGTTGTAACGTAGAACCAGTTCCGCCACCTTCTGGTTGAACCAGTTCTCGTTGATCTCGTACCGCGGTGCTAGAGAAGCGTTGTTGTCTGCACCAAAAGACAGCGTTTTTAATAGACCGATATGAAAACATGAAGTTATATGATGTTCTGTCTAAAGGTAGTTAACATAATTTAATAGTTATATTTCATGAATTTTGCATTCACAATGCTATGAGGGATCTGCTCTGCGTTACCCATCCTATCTCAGAGTACTTGGATTTTTTTTACCATTTTTCATTATCAGAAATTAATATATTAAAAAAGGCTGATGATGATGATGATGATGATTTTATTTAAAGCGATGATGATGATGCTGATGATATTTATTTGAAGGGATGATGATGATGATATTTATACCTGAAGTATTGATGACAAAAGTACTCGTTAACGAATGATAAGTATCGAGTAAATATTTGTATTCACTCGTATCATTTCTTTCCTATATGCTAGCAATGACTCACAAATATAATAAGCAGCCTCTTGTGTGGTGACGCCGGTCATGTACCGTAGGGCCGGGTTGAATTGTCTCCTCTTCACCAATTCCTCGGGCATCATGTTCAAGAAGTGCCAGTCTCGTTCCCTCCACCCTTCATACCATTCGTCGCCCGGAAAAGTGAAATTATTCTCTAGAACGGGACCAAACGGGATCAGACCGACTTGGGGCTGTAAATAAAATAAGAAAAAGTAAAAACGACCGAATCTTCTGCTATATCATTTTTTTTACCGCTTCATTGGATTGTAGACCAGCCACTCGTATCTAGAGTCACGTAGAAGTCATTCCTTAACTATAAGCAATGAGATTGAAGGAAAAATTTGATTGATACATCTAGTTTAAACTCTGAAAGGGTTCCTTTTTTTTTTCAGTTATGAACTCTACAATATAGCAGAGAAAGTTAGAGCAATTACAGTTCTTGTTGAAATCGATGAATTTATAATCACAATTCAATATATATAATTCTATATGGCAATAGAATTTTCAAATAATGTACATTATTTAAAACAAAAACAACCTGTAAATTATTTCTGCTTGACATTGTAAATCACAACGTACAAAATAAATATAATGTACAATGTACAATTATTATACAATTTATAAGCATAGATATTACGCCCGTTGAGCGTGGTGGTACTACGACAGAGTATCACACATATATTTGAATGAGTATGCTCTAGAGTATTTAATTACGTTCATTTTATTTTATTATGAATACTCTACATTGATTTGTCATTGAGTATGCATGACTCGGCAACGCGCATATTAATCAGTAATGGAAAAATATATGTTTTGTTATTTCTGATTTTGTAATGGATAAGTGACTTTATAGTCTAATGAAGGCACTTTTCAATAACACTTCTCTGTGTGACATAAAACTGAGAAAAAAGAAGCCCTTGCTAAGTTTTTGCCGGTTCTTCTCAGTACAAGGTCTCGCGCCGTTGATTTGCATATCGATGGAATAGTTTCTTGACTTTCATAAATGCTTGTAACGGTCTAGACTTGAATTTAAATGTGTGATAATTTATAAATGCCAACATTTCTGTTGTATATAATCAATAGCTTTAATATTATGTTTCAAAAAGAGGCTCATAAAAAGAGTCAGAGAAAGAGAAAAACAGAGATATTGTGTAGTATTTGTATGAACGCATGGTGCATGGTGTATATCACAACAGATCTTACCGAAACTTGTGCGTTGCCCAGATCGTATATACTTCTGCTCTGACGCAGACAGTTAACTAGTTTCCACGAGGAATCCGTGGGGCAACCCACGTACTTGCCGAGCAGGATAGATGTATTTTGTACACGGAACTTGTCCTCTATCATCGCCCAATCAGCTAATGCTGAACCGCTCTAAAACAACGAATTATTACACTCTATTAATATAGCACAAATTAATAAACTGTATTCCCTTGATTCTATTGATAATTCAATTATTAACGTGGTAAAGTCATCATTAAAATCGGCGCGGGGAATTAAACTAACAACTATTGATTAAGTAAGCGATAAAAACAAAATCCATACAATCGGAGATCTAAGAAAATGTTCCTCGGTCCCTAGTAACGATTGGAGGACTGAGAATAACCCCTTTTCAGTATATTAGTGTAAATTATTGACGTACTGACCTACACAATGACTTTTTGATGACCATACACTGACCTGTATAGTGATTTTGTGGATGTATACTGCCACGTACAATGACTTTATTAACAATGCATTGAACACAATGACTTTAGCGATGATTTTATTTTGTTGACAATGCACTGACTTGAGATAATTGGTTGAGATTGTATCGACCTGCGCGACGCATTCGTTGATGTACTGACCTGTGTGACGACTTGGTTGACTATATACTGACCTGCGCAATGACTTTGTTGACTATATCCCTGGTGGGCGGCGCGAGGGCGAGCAGTCCGGCGGATGCGGCGCCGGCGCCGGGACCGAACAGTGTGATGGAGTTGCGGTCGCCATTGAAAGCGTCTATATTCTCATGAACCCATCTTACTGCCATCACTTGGTCCAGTATGCCATAATTACCTGGCGAGTTCTCATCGCCAGTTGAAAGAAAACCTGATAGACATTCAAGTTTTTTTTTAATGTTTAACATCACGTGATAAATATTTTAGCTGATACGAGATGGCGATAGTGTAATAATTTAATAATTGTATATCTCTTGTCAATGTCCGTATAATTTTATAATGACGGAGAATATTATAAATTCAAAAGAGGGTATTTCAGTAATTTTGTCGGACATCTATGTTCATAATCCATAAAAGTTTTAAAGATAATTTAATAATATAACGTGTTAATATTTTAAAATTCAAAAGTATTAAGCATTGTCTCTTCATGTAAGTAAGATTTTAAATTCAATATAATCCCACCTAGTGCTCCTAGCCGGTAGTTGAAGGAGACCACGACGACATCATAAAAACCAGCGAGCATATGCGCGGGGAACAGATTCGACGCCCCGGAGGAGAACTGTCCACCGTGAATGTATACCATCACAGCATACTTCTGGGCGGTTGAACCTGCCTCTGTCTATGAACAATCAACAAATAGAACTCTTATAAATTTAAGGACGGGCGCAAGAAACTCCACAAAATGAGTGTATAGTGAGATATAAAGTGAGTGATAACTGTTTTCGCTCACATATTCACATATTTTTGTAAATCAGACGACACAAGACTCATTGAAACATCACTTAAGTATTACTTATAAATTTTAATCATTAGTTAGGGCGATAGTGATTACTGCAAACTAAGATTCACATACATAGCAACATTTACAAAGAAAAGAAACAACAGTATTAATATGTTACGTATTATGTACAATAAAATACTTTTGAAATTTTATTTCATATTCAAAAATTACTTCTATAAGTCATCTAACAAAATGACACAATTTAGGCCCACGCATTCTTATCTGATACATAATTAAATATTCTATAATATTTTTAATTGCAGATATAAATTTATATAAATTCAATTGCGCACTCTGTATGAATTATTAACTTATTAGAGCTGAATTTTTTTTTAAGTAAAATAAAATTGTGCGCGGTATTTTTTTTATAATTTCATCTCGTCCTAATAGCTATTGTACAGAGTACAGACAACAACATAATTCAACAAATTCAAACAAAGTAGATGAAATCCGCGGTTTGGTTGGTTGGTATAATGATATCGCCTTTCTTACGGGTTCATTTCACGGTCAGATCTCATTTTAATATTTACTCATTATATGGTTATACATTCGGTTTTACATATATTAACTCACAAAACAGAGACCTTCAAAGGTTACGTGTCATTCACACACAAGGTATTGTATTGTTAAAAATTTAGAACATCTGATAATGAGTGCACTAGTGTGTTCATAATAAAATGGCCGTTTGTTTGCATAACGTTTTGTTAACGCAATACCTCTGATAATTAAGTAGTGGGTATATGGAGCAGTGAAAATACCTCTAGAGAATAGTGAAACTGGACCATACTATTATGACACAATCCTATTATAATTTGGATTAGGAATTTGTTTGGGAACTTTACACACTGAATATTAATAATAGTTAGCGATATATTTTTTTCTATAATTAAAATAAAAGGAAAAATATATGTGGAATCAGAATAATATTAAAGTTATCCCAACTTAAAACAACTTTTTTTTAGAGGGTGCGAACCATAGTATATAATAGTATTTTTTTTGGCATTTAAAGCTTGATTTATGATTTACCATACCATACCTAACAAAAATTAAGCGTCTCGTATACTATCAGTCTTATTATAGAACAAATATCAACATTGATACCAGGTTTAAATCATTAAACAACCAAATTAAGTCAACACATCTCAATTTAAGTATACCTCTTCTATCATAGTCAATTTGCTTTAGGCGACCAATGGTTTAAAACAAGTATTATCTTAAGACCTCGTTCTTATAAAATACTGCAATCTGTTTTTAAGAACCACCACATCCAAGTTGTAGCGTGAAATTCGTGAATGTCTTTCATATATCAAATTGAAAGGAATAGTCTTGTGTCATACAAGTGAAAATGTAGGTTCCTGTTATATGTTCGGAAGATATGAACCATTTTAATTTATAAATATTCAAGAAAATATATTTTATGACACTAATTTGCAAAATATACGCTTCAAAAATTTAAAAAAAGTAAAAAAAAAAAATTACAAAAATTTACTAAAACACATATGGCATTAAATTAGTTACATAAAACGTTATGACTTTCATTATAACAGCTATAAACATAAATACATTAATAACAAAAATATTATAAAGATTGCCCAAACGCCCATACGTTTTTCGCTACCGTAGCACTCTGACGTCACTTAGTGCCTTGAATTTGTATGGTGTGTTTCGACTAGCTGAACTTCCACAAACACAGCATCGTATCTCCGAAACTATTAATCGTAGATATGCTGTTACTTCAACTCAACTAGCCTAAATTAGAAAATAAATGCTCTGTTTTTAGGTAACTAACATTATGTAATTGAATTGATGACTCGAGGTCAACATTTTGAAGTTCCGTGTCATGAGTTCGGACTTCATATTAATTCAACTGGTCTCAATTAAGCGCCACCATTGAACGCACCGCCAGCGTCGGCGGCTCCACATTCACAATGTTACGTCACCGAATCATCCGGACAATGATTCATTAATCGGAGCCGATACGAGTTTAATTAGTGCAATTTGTCACCGGTTTGCATTCGTGAAATTACATATTCCAATCGTGCAAATATGCACTTTAACGCTTTCAACGTAGATTTCGCATTCCAAGAAGGCTAACGCTTTTAATTATAAGCGCAGTTTAAATAGAAACAGTAATATTCTGGAATAAGAAGTTCGTGAATATTGATTTTATAAGTTCGCATCACCTTGAAGAATTTCACTAAAGTTAAAATATTATAAATAATTGCGAAATAAATATCCATCTTATGTATTACTTTAAAATAATTGTTTGTTTATTTTCATTTTGTATATTAGGTAGTGCTTAGCGAGACCTAAAACTAGATTATTTTGCCCTTCATTAGTTGTTAAAATAAAGGTCATCTCAATCTGTGTGGGATAAAATCGTGTTATTGTAATTAGTATGTTCGTAGTTATATTCTATTCTATTATTACTGATCAATATTAAATAATAATATCCAAATTTATCCAAAGTTTTTGGGAGTAAACACTTGTTGTAAAAACTTTTTAATTTGGGTACTTAGATTATATAATGTCCAGATTCCGTGTCCGACCCATACAAAGCGCTATGATATATAGTGAAGCTGTGTGAGATTCGTGTGTGCGAGAGTAAAGAGTGTGTTTTAATTGCCAAATAGAATTATAATATTCTGGTATAATTTTTTTTTCAATAATATTATCGTAGATAGGAGAAATTTATAGTTAATATTTGTAGTTTTTTGGTTTATAATATGATTTTTTCTATTTTAAATCAGTGCTATTTCAAAATTTCGAAGCTGCTACGAACTATACGATTATAATATAAGAGATATCATTCGATCTTTTAAACTACACAACGAATTTTAACATTGTTTTTATCAATATACAGAGTGATTCGTGATGAAGGTTTACATGTAAATGTATTACCACACGGGCGAAGCCGTTGGATGAAGACTATTCGTAGTATAATATCTATGGTATATGTATGCAAACTTTGTCAATTTAATATCTTTGGGTCAAAAAGTATTTCCCGTACAGTGGGAAACTTTTTGTTTTGTAAGCAGAATATAATAAGTAACCGACAATTAAGTTTGTTGTGAAATAATCAAAGTATGTACTCACATTTGGTGAGAATATGTTCAAGTACAAGCAGTCTTCGTCCATGTCCCTTATGCCTTTGGTATCTCCTGTAAGACTTGCCATCTGAGGGCAAGCTGGACCCCAGTCTACAGCTTGTATTAGTTGCCAACCCGGGTGTTGTCGTGGTGGCTGCAAATATTAGTTAATGTTAAAACTTAATTTGTTACCAGATAAATACCAGAAAATATGTCTTAAATATGATTTCAAATCTTTTTATTTGCTCTTCAGATCATATTTATAAATGGATTTTTTAATATAATTTAGGGATATAAATGGATAAATAGGGATTAAATATATGAATAGATATATTTATTTTATTTTATTATTTAATATGGTCCATTAATGGTTTGTTTTTTCAGCAATATAGTTTATGAGATTCAGCAAAATGGAATATACCATATTAATAACAATATAAACATTATAATGCCTCATACTAAGTAGCATTCAAGTGTTAATTTTAATACTATTTTTTTAAATTCTGTAATGTGTCACCAAGTCAAAAATAAGTTCTTTACAATATTGAGGGTATCCTACATATGGAAACTATAAACAAACCTGTTCATGCTGAATCTTCTTAGTTAATTATAGCTATTAGAGCATAATTTCCTTATTCTGTCATGAAAAAAATTACCTTAAATCTGCCTTCTAAAACAGGTGGTCTAGCGTACGGTATTCCCAAGAATACAGACACCTCTCCTTGAATTCTTTCCACAGGGGTCAGCCAAGGTCTGTATCCTGAATTAGGATCTGGGTTATCATACAGATAAACCTGAAAGATTTCATATGATTAATAGACAAACAAATCCTTTCCTTATATGAAGTAATTCTTAAAATTTAAATTATTTGAATTATTTAAATGTCTATCTTGCTCTGATGATCATAATATAAAGAAAACTCGCTGAGCCATTAAATTGTTGCTGTGACACTGTCATTATAAAGAGAAATTAATTATTAACTTATTATTTTAATAACTGAAATAAATCCATGTCATGCATTGTGGCCTAAAAGATATATAGAGGTAAAGCCTAAAAAGAGGGTGGTAGACTAAAATAAGGAGTTGTAACTACACAATTAATGGAGAAAAGGTGGTCTCAATTGAAAATAGAAAAAAAAAAAACAAATACACAAAACCAATAAGAAGCTTTTTCAACTCAAACTCAAACTTGATATTGATCAAGTTTATTATTTTTATATTAATTATCTCCTTATTGTAGTAAAAAACCGATTTCACCAATATTTTACAAATATAGCTTTAATTGCAAATATTTTGTGGTTTTTGTATTATTTATTCCATTGTTTAGTTATATTTATGTGAATAGAGCTTCTGATTACTTGCAAAAGACTACTGAATCTCAACAACTTAATGTTTAAAATTAGTAGACTGTTTAAAATCTTGTATGATGTGAGGTTTGCTGTACACACAATAGCACACAGGTTACTTCAAAAGGCTAAGTTTTTGCAACCAATTATGATGTTAACTATTTGAACAACAATTACAATAATTTGAACCTTCAGTAAAGAATATTTAAATTATTCAATAATCAGATGCAATTTAACATTATACTTATTGAACTATTTTCAACTATGTACAGTTTGCTACAAAATTAATTCAAAATTAATCCCAGAATGTAAGATTTTTTAAAAAGAGAATAGAATAAACAATAAGTAAATTCTTTGGAATATTTTTTTGTAAAGATAATAATTATTACCTTAAACCCTTGCACTTGACCATAGTTGGTAGTAACAAAAATATCTCTTTTCAACTGTCTGGAGTCTCTTCGCTCCCTTCCTTGTAAGTCTTCTCTCCACCCACCAAGTACACCAGGGAATAATGCATCTGGATTATTTGGATCTCGATTCTATTGAGAATTAAAAAAAAGAAAAGCAAAGGGAATAAGTTAGATAGCTTTAAGGTTTCTTATATTATGAAAGTTGAAGAAATATTATTTTTATTCATATTTAGAAAAAAATAATGGACATTACTTGCTTGTTGCTCCATATTAGAAATATAATCTATTAGTTGACTGTCACTATTTGAATTGAAAATTGAAAGTAACTTTATTCATGGTGTAAATGAGTATTCATATACATGGGTATTCTGAACAAAAAACAGAACTTACTGGAGTGTATTTGAATTGGTCATCCAAAGGGTTAGGGTTTAATGGATTGTATGGCAGTGGATTGTATGGAAAGCCACCAGGCTGATTTATGTTCGGATTATATGGATTATAGCGAGTTGGATCTGTTCCATATCTTCTGTTATTGTACACATAAGTTCTGTAGTCAGTGTCGCCTGGGTTTGGGCGTTTTTTGGCTTGCGAAGGATCGTATTCTTTATTGTACTCCCCATACTGTCCATTGTACAAGTCCTTATTGGATTGACACTGCACTTTAGTACACAGAAAAACTATTACGATACAGTTTTTGAACATTTTTCACATATCAGAAGACGTTACGCTCCGCTTACACACTATTCTTGCGTCAGTGAATCACCGTTTAGTCGACATTCTTTTGTGTTTGTTTTTCATAATATTAAAACACTTTTATAACACAAACTTTGCTTGAAAACTGATTTTAGATAGGAAGAATATAAGAAAAATGTAATTAGCCTTTAAATTCTGTAATAAATAATATAAAATTGCCAAAGTAATGTGTGAACAGAAAATGACAGAAGTAGAGGTAGCCAACAGTACTACGGGTTTTATCACTTAAGCCCTTGTTATTATCTAGTACAATATCATGATATGCGTTAGGGCTTATCTTTATAATTCATCGGAATTATCAGTTCTACATAACGTGTGGCAACGCCCACAGTTAACAGTTTTGTTTATCATTTGCTAAGTGAAGTTGGTTTTGGATGATCGTTGCAATCGGCGTCGCTTGGCTACCATCTGTCACTGTCAGGTCAGTCACTTGTTGACACTGACAGTGACTAATATTGTTGTTGTTTAGTTATAACAAAGGGATTGAGATTTTAATCTCATATCAAGTTTTCGCAGAGCATTTTAAGAATTATAGGATTATTCAATATTTTTCTTATAACACTATTAGAAAATAAAAATGTCAGATTCATAGAAAAAAAGATAGTTTGAATGTTAGTTTGTAAAATTCGTCTTCATTTAAGTCACCTACCAATGTCTACCCAATTTTAGTGATATCTTTTAAATTGCAAAATATTGGGTACAATAGTTTGTTTGTTAAAGGTAAGTAACGCCCTAACTTCATCGGCAGTATCTTAAGGAGAGTATTAATTTTATTCATTTATTTTTAGATTTAATGGATATTACAAACATAAATATCTTTTTTTTTTATTTCACAGTCCTAGTAACATTGTAGTGCCCAGTTGTCTAGTCTCTCAAAAGCATAATCTACTACTATGTACGTATAGGATAGCAGAGATGTATAAAATACCCTGTACAAAGTATCTGGAATACAAGATACAAAATACTTTTGAATTAAGTATTTCAGATACCAGATACGAAATACTTTCGAGAAAAGTATTTGAAATACTAGATACAAAATAGGTATCTTATAAATACTTTTGATAAATACAAATACTTTTCTAAAAAAAGATTTGAATTTAAGTTTGTTTATTAAAAACCACAAGAACCTTAATCTTGGACCAGATGTGACCAGGGACAAAGTGGATTTTTTAAACATTTTTCATTAGAAACAATTTTTACAAGCTTTTATTTAGTTTCACCTGTACCGGTGTTTGTACTCAAATCTTACAAGCTAAATTTCATCCACTTTTCCTCCGTTTGGAGATAACAAATTTAAAAAGCCTGAAATGTTCTTTTTTTTTGTTTTCAATCACAATGTAACATATAAAAATGCAAATATTTAATACAGGTCTAAATTATTTTAAATTTTTTAGTTCCTTTTTAATAATAAGTTTTTTCAATATAGCATTGTGAATGAAAAATTGCTCAAATATAACAACAAGAATAATTATTTAAATTAAATTTTAAAATTATTATTTATTTAAAAAGCTGGTTTTACGTACGACGACGTATTACGACGTAGACCCAGATGAGAAAATTACGGAGAACTGAAAATTCATTTTTTCCTAGTGAGATGAAGAGAGTGGGTAAAAATAAATACAGTACTTGGTTTTTAAAATAGTATAATGTGCAAAAAATTAATAAAAGTTAATAATGAGTTTAATTGATATACTGAGTTTTATTTATAGCATATGTTATATTATATATAACCGGTTTTTTACATTTTTACTGTTTGTAACTGGTTATTCGATTTCAAGCCCTATGCGCCATCTTTCAATTTTTACTAGGGAGGTGTATAACACCGGTATTACCGTACGTTCAGTTCTACGCATTTACTTTTTAAATGACACCAAAAAATGTTTGGATTCAAGTTATTTTCAACTAAATTTTCATTGCGTTGATAATGGACACTTTCTTTTTGTAGATATGTATGTTTTAGGCAAAGATATTTATAAAATGTAAGAAACAATCTTTTAATAAAGTATTTTATCAGAAAAAGTATTTAAAAGATACTAAGATACTAAACTAAAGTATTTAAATACAAGATACAAAATTCTTCCTAAAAAAAGTATTTTAGATACAAAATGAAAATACGTATTTTGTATCTTGTATCTGGATTTCAAATACTTGTATCTAAGATAAGTCACATCTCTGTAGGATAGGTATATAGGCTTTGAATGTAATAAAAAAAACTGCATATTAATATATTCTCTATTGAGAGAAAATCATTGTTTGTTGGCATGGAATAGGCTCCGAAACTACTGGATCGATTTAAAAAAAATTTACGCAAACGGCAAATTACATTACAGGCGGGCTTTATAAGTAAGGCTATGTTGCATGTTCGAAGTCGCGGTAAAACAGCTAAAAATATGATATAATAGATATCTCTATATCTATCCAAACGCAGAGTTTAATACTTACCTAGAGCTACAAAATGTCACACAAAGCTAATTTTGCGTGGCATGCAATTAGCAAGGGGAGATGAATATTAACTTAATTATTTCTGTGAATTCTAACAAGTAAATCATCCATCAAAGTAGACCTCTGTCGATGGAAATTCGTTAATGGATCCAGGGATCAACAGCTGTGAACCAATTTGCCAGCAAACACGAACGTCAAACGATATTAGAAACTGTTTTATAACTTCTTAATATTTTGTCTCGGTTATTAATTTTTCTTTATCCATGTATCCAAATAGATAAGATATTTAAATTTGTAGAATTTGGAGTAGGATAGTTCTTCGCGTACCGCAAGTGTTAGAGCAGTCGCTCCCCGGATTGCAAAAAGTTGTGGACCTGAGTACCTGAGGATGGTGAATTTTTTAAGCATTTTTCTAACTAGTAATGAACACAATAGATAGAAAAAACAATAATTGATATTATTTCGCTTTGCAACAAAAAAATAAATATGTTTAAAAATAACATAGGAAAAGCAAAGTCATAGGAAAGTATAATACGCCTTCGTCTCTGATGATATACCTATGCCGTTGAAATATTTTTGTTTTGAAAGAACGCTTCCAATTATATTTTGTTATAAAAACAAAATTTCTAATGCGATTTAGATTTTTTTATGAGACACTCTTAGGCCAATAAACTTTTGAATCAAATCAGAAAGGTTTTTTAAAGTCCGTCAACTATTCGGGAACAAATCGGTGAATTGAAGATATACCTTGCGGAAATAGAGACTTCTCCTTATCGATTCGAAGTCAGTTAAAAATATAAATTTATTACTACGCATATATCTTATGTATCTTAAAAAATCCCATTTCGACCCCCAGTACAAGCGAATATTTCAAGCATTTTGTTGATTAATGTAAGTTTATTTTTTTTCACTACGAATAAATATTTAATTTATCCATACCTGTATACAAAATTGTATGCAGTTACATTCGATTTATTTTACCGTTCTTAACGATTTTCCGATTTCTCCCCACAATTAGCTTAAGTGCTTGTTGGTTTCCCGCCTAAATAGAGTCGGCCACCATTAGTTTGAAAAGCATCAAAACGACCCGCGTGCCGCGGTTGATGCTGTTCAATCTCTTTAATTATTCCCTTGCGATTTCGATTATGGATAGTCTCTAATACTGGGATAACTCAACATTTAATGTGCGCTCTTGGGAATTATGCACGCTTAACTTGAAGGCCCGATCGTCAACCCTTAAGAACCCAAATTAATTTCCTTACAAATCGTTTAGCATAGTGAACATACGTTTAATATGAGTTGAATGTGTCTTAATTTTGATCACTTTATAAAATGTATATTTTGTAGACATAAGATGACGAATTGCGAGTCAAAAACGGCTTAAAATCAATTTTTCGCGAAATATTATGATAATGCCACATAAATATTTGCGAGTATATACAAGAATAGAGTAACAGTTATCCTTCAAAGTATTACGATGCAAGAGGAAAGATCTTCCAAGCGTTTGAAGTGATTGTCTCAAAAGAAAAAATAGATATGTTCTTGAAAAAATAGATAGATTGAGGGAAAATTAATTTACTTTAATAATGCAAAGTAGTAGATCAGGCTTTAAACAAGAATGGTTTAATTAACGTAATTGGTTGATACAAAAAGTTTATACCTACTTTCATATATACCTGCTCATTAAAAATATTCAGCGTAGGTAAAAGAATTTTCAAAATCAGTCCAGCAGTTTTGAAACCTACTCAATGTAAGAAACAAATGAACCGACACACAATATTCTTTTTTTTTTTATAATTTTAGTTTTGATTGTTTATTTAGGTACAATATTGATTTGTTTTATAGCATTCCCCGTCTCCAAAATATAGTTATCATTATGCTGTTGTGACAAAGCTATCAGCATTCGAAGTAGCCTGCACGACTATCAGGCTGTCAGGTATTTGCTTTGAAAGCACCTATACGGACCGCCATCGTCATCAGAAACAGCATCATGTAGGGTGACTAGGTTTTACTGCAGGAATTATATAGATTTGCTAATTTGCCTGTAATAAGAAAAAACTGATAGAAAAAATAGTAGGTACACAAAAAGAAAGTAAATTTCTTGTCATACGGCCGGTTTCTGAATTGAGAAAAGAACAAAATCTCAACTGATTATTCTTAATAACTCAAGTACTTTACGTTTCAAATGGCAAAAAGTTCTAGTTTATCAAACTGCTGTCGAAAACATGGCTTAAGTACGAGACGTGCTTAACTTTAAATTCTCAATTCAGAAACCGGGTGTAAATCTCCGTAGTGGAATAATTTGTTACAATCAAAACTTTTTTTGGTAGAATAAAAAAAGCATGCATACATGTTTTATTATGCCAAATAGATACTTTCGATGAATTACCAGCGCTGTGCCAGACGTCATTTTGTAAAACGGAATTGCTCCTCCATATATATTTTTGTCATAAATTGTTGGTTACATTAAGACTTATAGAGATTACTTACAGCATCTATAATATAAA